TAATTTTCCCTTTGGGGCCCCGCCCTGGCCCCAGGGGTTGGGGTAGGAATCCCAATTTTACAATTTTGAAGCCTCATCTACCAAGGATGATTCTGACCAAGTTTGAAAAAAATCCATCCACTGGTTCTTGAGAAGAAGTTGAAAATGTAAAAGTTTACGCACGACGCACGACGGACGACGACGGACGAAAAGCGATTGGAATAGGTCACTTGAGCAAAGCTCAGGTGACCTAAAAAATAACTAGGAGAAAGTCCCCAAAGTCGGCAAGATCAGCTCTAACAAATTTTAACCATACCAAATAGATATTTTTCTAAATTTCCGAAAGCTTCGATCTCTTCATTAGGTCTATTAAGTTTGCGTTTCTTTTGAGGAAAATCTTCATTTTGATCTTCTTTCTCTTCCTTATCCGAGTTCATCTCGACCAATGCATGGAGTTTCCGCACGTCCCAGACATCTTCAAATGACAGAGTGCACGATTTTTCGGTTGGAAAATCTTGAAACGTGCTTAATATTTCTTGTGTAACAACTGAAGCAGCACTGAATGGCTTCCCCCCGACACAGTCACACGAGATTATTTTGAGTGTCATTAACTCGTTCCTTTTTTGTTCGACAAGAACAGCCTTCAATTCTTTCACAGCTCTACTAGGCCTACTGCACGCCGCCATTTTAATCCGAACGCATGCGCATTGGTTTTCATTAGTTATATGTTAAGCTGACAGTGTTCAGGCAAGCTTAATTATACGTCTGTGTTTATGCATGTGTCACTATACGAGGTTAATGTTTTTGGGTCCCCGTGCGCCGTACACGGACCTGTTTCCCGTAAGACATCAGTTTTATCTCAACAACGGCTAGATGGATTTTTCCGTAAAATTTCAAATAAATGTTTTAAAAATCTCATCTTTAAATAAAAATATAATGATCCCTGGAACTTTAAAATCGCCTGTGTCAGCAGGGGCATATGTAGTATCTTCGAATTACCGGTTTCCGCGCACTTAAGAATCATCCGCGATTTCGTACTCATATCACATGTATACAATCTACTAAAGGAAACAAAAAACTAGCAACATAAAACTGTATTAATAAAAAATTCAGAACAAACAATTTTTAACAAATTTTTCACGTCGGAAGTAGCCGTCATATGTTTCCGTGTGTCTATTTTGATTTAGTGTTCAAAGAAAGATAACTCGAATACACTAAAAAGAAATTCCTTACACTGACCTGCACGTTTGGAAAAAAAAATAAAAAATCTTTGATTATCAAAACAACTTTTTTTAAATTTCACATTTTTAATAGATTTTTCAAGATGTCAAATTGAACGAATACATGTAATTTTATTAACTTATTTGTTATATTTATTTAGTTATAATATATAATCTGGGATTTTTTTTCTTCTGCAGTTTGATATCGGTTTTGATGGTAAGTTATTTCTCATTTTGTTCTGTTTAAAATTGGTGAAAATTGGAAGTTCATTGCATTACAAGGTTTACGTTTCATTAAAAACACTGTTTATCGATATAAGAATGTCCCCTTGGCTCTTCGGATGTGGAAAAAATCGGCGAGGAGATGTGGCCTCATTTGCATACGACATTTTCGTACGTTTGTCAGACTACAAAAAAGACCGGTTCATGAATGAAATATATCACCGTTTTTTCATGTATGGGCTCATTTTGAGCAAGATAAAAAGTGCATTAAGCAAAACTGCATATTTATGCGTGTTTTTTTAATCGGTGATTATTTCTTATGTTTTCCGGACGAACTTCCGGTAATTTTTCTGTCAGTTTACAGACGATGGCCAAACGTCTAAAATATCCTTGTGTTGCGTCCAGCAGGTCACGTAGTTACGAGATATAACTTGATAAAATGGCTGCGCGGAAATACATAACGCGCGGAAACTGGTGACTAGACGATATATATATATTTATATTCTCCCTCATTCCAATCGTCCGCATATAAAATAATTAATTTCACAAACACATAAATGGGATTATAGCTCGTTGCTCATTCGATTTTATTTACAACTTCTTCCATCTTTCCACAAACATAATACACGCACAATCTAACCCCTTACTGACCGGCATATTTTACCTATCTTATTTGATTCATCTAGACTAAACGATACTTTCGTAATTAAGCCGTACGTGTTACTGTGTTGAGCAAACGAACTCGAAAGAGCGCACTAGCACGTGAACACACTATATAAATCCTACGTCACGTGACATCCACCCCGATGACCACGTCACCGTTAGCTCATGCATATGCCTACCATTGAATTTAATTTCATATATGTATGGGGCAAAGAAGTAATTCCAGCAGTGTGTATTTATATACGTCTCTGGATTACATTTCAGGGCGTGAATTTATGTGTACGCCGTACCCGTGCCCGGCCCTGTTTCCCGCACCCAGACTATGGACATTATTTGTTTTATCTAAACATCGACTCGATGGATTTAATTCATATTTTCTACAAAAAATTCAAATAAATATCTGAAAAAAATCTTAACTTCGAATGAAGGTTTAACACTTTTTTATTCGATCATTTATTCAATTTATATATTAAGATTATGGATGAATTCAAAGTCAGAATTAGTTTATTTTTTTGTGGTCTTAAAAAACTCCATTCCAGTATATTTAGACAATTTTTAAAATTCGTATAACCTATTTCAATTTTCCGTTTTTAAGCTCCCCATGTACTATTTCATTTATAAATCATCATTCATTACCCCAGCTTCTGTTATCTGATTAAGAAAAGAACAATAGACTTATCATAATTACCTGTTTTTTTAGAGAAAACAAATGATAATTTAATGAATAAAAAGAATTGTGGAAATACCATAATTATGCTATGTTGAAAACATTTTAAAGAAATGGTGTCCTCATAATATTATAAGCGGTATGCAAGATACAGGTTACGCTCCAATTTTGAGAATGGTAAGTGGAATTATGCATTAAGAATGCACTAAGAATGAAACAACTACAGCTGCAGCAGCGCAAATCCATTACACCGCAAAGAACCATCGGTAGTGCCAGTATAAGAGGTAGATGGTAACGAGGTATATATACTCGATAGTTTGATAGGTAGTACTAAACAGAAGGGTCATTTGTCAGCTTCTTTAGAAATTCAGTTATCATCAGCATATGGGGAAAATGGAGAAGTTTTGAAAACGATCTTATCAAACCTGCAGCAACAGACAAATGTGGTTGAACCTAGTAAAATTTTGTTTGGGTGGGTTTAACGGGAAGGAGGACTTATAATTCGATACTGATTGTATGGCACCTTTGCTAGATTTAATAAATATAGGAAAAAGAAGATTCTCAGACTTAATCCTTTGGTATTTTTATTGATTGTGAATCAGACGGTTGTCATCTTTCTAAATGTTTTTGACGATATATGGTTACTTTTGACGCTGGCTGTAACAATTCAGATGTGTAAGTAATACATCAGGTTTTAATTTTTCAAGAGATAGTTTTGTTTGGCATATCAGTAAATTTGCCTAGATACAATAATTTTATGTCTCATCGGATAGTTTAGTTATTTTATCAAACGCATCAGGAAGGGTGATTTTCAACTATATAATAAAAAAATTAATTATACATGTTTGGGGTATTTTTTATGAAACATTTACGATTAAATCATTTTAATTTAACAAATAACCTAAAGATGTATATAATGTAACAAATATCATATAAGTAGAAAGGAATAAATTTGCACGTATGCTGCGACGGATGGATGGATGGGTTTATCTGTATATTAGAATCGAAGAAATCATAAGATTAAACCGTATATAAAGGACAATTTGCAAAAAATTGTAAAATTCCAAGGCTGAGTACACAAATTCACGCCTGAAATATACCCATCGGCGATTTCAAAAAAAAATCGGAAGTATTAAACCTTCATTGAAAGTTGTGAATTTTTCAAATATTTGTTTGAAATTTTGTAGAAAACATGAGCTATTCCATTAACCGTTGTTAAGTTAAAAAAACATAATGTCCCTAGTCCGGGTACGGGAAACAGCTCCGGGTACGGCGTATACAATTCACGGGGACCATGCAAATAAAAACTGACCACCATATAACATTCTACTAAGTTTCTTTTTATATAAAATACAAGTACATCTCATGAAACACAAGTTCATCTCATATGAATGTGAAGTGCTTTATGCAACAATTCACTCAAGGAATTATTTGCATTGTTATCATCATTGTCAATAACATGCCTGTTTTAGAACCTGAAAAAGGTACTATCATGCCACCAGCTCGCGGCTTTCATGATCTGTTGTATTGGAACACTGCGTAATGATGTAGCACTAGTATAGCAGCAGCAATGTGTGCCCCAAAATTTTGCACATTCGCACTCGAATGTGACATCACATTTCTCAGCCACCTTGAGATTGTACTTCCTCACACTGGCCCATCACCGGCCTATAAGGTGACACAGTACTGATGAATACTTGTGTAGTATTGCCTCTGATTGATATAGTTCTGTTCAAATACTCTAGCATGGTATACATGTACACACATAGAGACAGATTGTCATGAAATTTTTGTATGTGAATAGATCGAGGCCTGGTGACGACCAGGTTTTTTTGTGACAAATGACTCAAAATTCTACAATTATTAACACTTAACGTGTCTATCTAGTGTATTGTGTCGTGTCGTAAAGTGTTTAGGTCTCCTGAACCATCAGGCTCAAGCCTGTCGATGTAATGACTGACACCATATTTGTATGTGTATTCACGACTGACACCATCTTTGTGTGTTAAATACTGACACCATCATCTTAGTCTGTGTAGTAATGACTAAAACATTTCGTGTCTGTGTACTTATAATTGACATCATCTGTGTGTATTACGTCCAATCTCTACTACGTCATAAACAACACGACACAAACATATCAGTTTGCCCGCCTAGCCCGCCGTGCGCTATAGAAAATAGAAATTGAGGACTGCTATATCCCAATATGAAACGCTAGGCAATACAAATTAGAATCCATATAGTTTAGGGTGTCACACCTCCTAGTATAGGGTCCAGGGGTCAAAGAGGTGTTCTCCAGTTCTTCCAGTGTATTTATATAGGGGACATTTAATGTCTGTTATAAAGGAAAACGTCTGTCCCAATTGAGGACAACTATATACCCAAATGCAGCTCAATATACATATTTACTGTTTTTGGGCGTGGTTCGATAATCTTTAACTTAATTCTCATATTTTTTTTGTTCAGTTAAACCATTGAAATTATTTCAATATACTGTATATATCAGCTTTAAAAAACCACTTGATACACAGATATATGTAGGTAAAGCTCACAAAAACAAATATGTTAGATTAGACAAATTACATACTACCAACATTACAGCATACAATTAGTGAGGCTAAGTTGATATTTAATGGAAAATGAAAAATATGGTCCAATTCTGAATATGTTCTAAACAATAATACACAATTAAGTAAAAAAAGCAAAAATATGCACAAAATGTCATTAGGATATAAAAAAAAAGTGTTTTTTTTTTCTTTACCAAAAAACAATTTAAACGAAAGCAGTCTCAACGATTAATCAATGCTATTTGATGCGATAATATGTATTTGAGGGAATGATGATATAAACGATGTATGTATACATATGCTACATATCAAGATATATCAGATAACAGCAGACCTTGACAATTGATGATATATTTGAAGTAAACGTAATGCAATGTGATTAATATTCTTCAAGACAGCATTGAATCATATATCATAGAAATTTAAAAAACCCCAATAAAATGTAGCACAGCAAGTGAAACAACTGTACATTTACCTGGATATATCTGTAGGTTTATGTTATGTACATATTTTCTTTCAATTATTCCCAGGTTCAATGTACATCAAAAGCACGATTAGTCTAAACAAATAATTGTTAAGACACTGGATAATTGTCAACGTATTACTTACCCTGCATAAAAATTCCCAAGCCTTGCTATACCCAGCGGCTTTATTATTGTGATGGAGAAATATTTCTCGAAAATAAGTATTAAAAACTGCAGTCGAGAACCTGCTTATCGTATCAAAGCATCACATAAACTTCCGTCGCCCAAAAAATACACATCTGGTTCAAAACATCATCTCTGTCTATAAAAATACCGAAACATCGTGATAAATGTAGTCAACAACCCATTGACTCTTATCAAATACTGCACAAAATCTAAGTAACAACTCCTGAATACTTTAAACCACTTTTAAATTAGTTCTCTTTAGGTTATATTTGTCAGTAGACTTGTGTACTCTTCGTATAAATGGCTCAACCCCCTTGATATTAATATTCTGATAAACTATGAACCGATTCAAACCTAAACAAAGCGAAACAAAAAGGTACGTATGCCATTTTCTTAAAGTCTTACGGCAACATTTTGCTGACTATTGCAACTGTCCAGTTTACTAGGAGCATCGTCTCAAGTTTTTGTGTCAACGTTTGTAGTGTCGTACATGTGTGGAACGTCCACCTCCCTGCGTTCAAGCTGTTCATAATTTCCCTCTGTGTGGGAGATCTGTGCAATACTTTGTTCCTTGTGAGTTGCTATTTCGTCATAGTTACCATCTAAAAAATGCAATAAAAAATATTAACTTCTTTCAGATTTAATGTCTGAAATGATATTAGTGCGCTGATATGCAATGAGATTGAGATATCCTTACACCGTTTGAAGCTAGGTAAAGATTGGGACAAAGTATCGCAGTTTCATGTCGCGAAACTAATTTCTTTTTAAAACACATGTATTGATCATTGTAGGCTCCTTTGATGTAGTGTTTTGCTTCGAATGGTTAATAATGGAATTTTGTTTTGTCTTTTGTGCAAACAGTGGAATCGGGAAAGACATCACTAATTTTCAAAACAAGAAAACGAACCAATATTTGTTTTTTCTCATTTCTTAATGTAAACTGGATCACAGTTTTTACCTTGATCGTTATTTAACCCTTTTGCAGTTCTCGACAATGTAATATCTGTCATATGTGTAGACCTTGTGGTGTCACCTCGCTTCATCGCCAGACGTCTGGTTTGAACAATGATCACGACGACCAGAGCCAGTATAACTACTCCAGATCCGACGCCTATCCCAACTGCAGCATCCTCATTCATTACTATAACAACTGCAACATTTCCATTAGTGAGTTATCATTGTATATCTTAAGCAATATTTATATGATGTCTGTTTGAAGAGATCCCCCTTAATATATTTTACCGTGATTGTGTTATAGCAAAAGCTACGTACAACAATGTGTTTGAAACACTTACTTCTACTGTTTTTGAAGGGTACAGTATTGGCTATACATGTACATGCAAACTCATCGCAGATAATGTAATAAAATAGTACCCTTGGTGTCACATTTGTCTCCTGTCCATCCATCTGTACATCCTGTTGCACAATCCCCCGAGTCCTTGTCACAACTCAAACCTTGGCAATCACCACAGGACTTTAAACATTGGCTGCCGTGAAAACCGGCTACACATACTACAACGGGAAATGGGAGTGCAGTGAATTAATTAAACTTGATTTGCTTGTAACGGGGAGTATTTTTTAGAAGAAAACAAATCTAGAATTTTTATCAAAAGAAAACATACTTTTTACTAACAACCATGGTAAACGCTAACTATTGAACACCAGCATACAGCAGATGTTGTGTCATTATACTAATAAAATATATTACCTGTAACTGGGCTACGGGCTAAGACTGGGCTCACGCCTCTGGAATTATGTTACAGAATCTTAGCCCTTTGACTGAGAAATACCGATCTTGCTCAGTTACATTTTTTTTCTCTCGCACTGTTTAGTCTGAAAACAAACTATTCAATAGTATTTAATGCCGTCTGGGCCTCAAATAAGAAGGGCCACCTCTAAAGCTACATTGGAATGCTTTTGCGTAAAACTATAGTCCGTAGATTATATTTCATCTACAACATCAGGCATCAAAACAACACATATAACGACAAAACAGAATATTTATAATGCAGATTGTCAATTTCAAGCCGTTACCGCGCGGAAGAATACATCGCAGTGTAAAACTGCCGCGAAATGTTATGTAAAGGTTCCAGACAGATCGGACGCGATAGAACAATCTAGCATGAAGTATGACGTGGGATATCTCTGTCTGAGGTGCGAGATATGTACGTCTGTACTGAACACGTGTTGTCCAATGCTTGTATCATGACTTGTCACCAACAGTTTGTAGAATGATTTTCTGATTATTTACTTTATCAACCGATATGAAATACCGAAATACTTGTGTATGACCCCTTACGTTGTGCGATCCCACAATTGTATCTAAGCGTTTTTTATCGATTTATTGTTTTCAAATATTACGCCGAAAATCGTCTTTTGTAATTTAATAAACACAAATAATAGTAAAATTAAAACAACAAGTGTATTCAGTGTTAAAGTGATAAAGATACACCCAGAGTCTAATTGTTTATTCCAATGAAAACAAAATCTATACTGATTATCATTATTTATTGTTAAGGAGGAGAAAAGAGGACAAAAGTGATTAAATGCAATGTAGTTTGACCGACTAATCAACATTATATGCACATTAGATGAACATTGAAATTACATATAGATCGTACCTTCGCATTCTCCGCTACTCCTATAACACAAAGCATCTTGACAGTTGTCAGGACAAGACTCGTTACACTCAGAGCCATAGAATCCGGCTTCACATTCTAGAATATTGAAACACGTGTTGTAGAAGGGTTCATGTAACTCAGCCATTTAAATTGTATATGTATGACATTTCAATGACTAGTACGGCATTACCAATGAAGCGATTGTACATACATATATTTATCACATACCTGTTGAATCTTGTTATAGTGATACAAGCAATTTTTAGACCATGAAATACAAAGTTCTGTATTGCACATGTGCAATACGGAACGTTGTATTTACCTACTAGCCGGAACTACTTTTTATGGGAATCCCATTGTCATAGCAAACTGAAAAGTTCCCGGTATTTGCAAAAAAATATCAAAGTTTATAAGATCTTTATATGGATCTCTACCAAATACGAAAGGTATGTGATAAAAGTAAGACCACACACTTGTGTTTCTCTAACGAATCATAAAGCACTCATTTATTGCGCGGACGTATATATTCGTCCGCACAATAAACTCGTGCTTTCTGATTTGTTAGAAAAACACAAGTGTGTGGTCTTGCATATGTATGGCATTGTTTACCAATCACTACAGATGAATAATTTACTGAACTGCATTTAAAATCTCGCCAATTAAGGTGTACGTTTATTTCACATATTTATCGAACACAGATTGGGAAAATGTATCTTATATGTAATCAATTCCGATAAAGGGGAAGAATAGCTTACCTGTGCACTGGCCGTCGTCCTTCATACAAACATTGTTTTTGCAGTTAATAAGGCAAGGCTGAGTACAGTAAATACCATAGAATCCATTATCACATTCTGCAAATTTCGGTAAATAGGTAAAACGAAGTATCAATTAAAATCACAAGTAAATTATCATATGCCTCTGAAAAATTATAACATGTGTATGAGATATCGATTGAAGGTTGTGATTTGTGTATGCACTGATACACATGCAATAACAATCTGAAAATTTCGTTTAAACGATTTATTCATAAAAATGACCAGTAAATGATCACATGCCACTAAGACATTATCATGTATACATGATATATCGATTCAAGGGCGTAGCTCGTATATGCACAGTTCTGTGCCCGTGTCTTCCATTTCTTTTATGTTGGTGTACGCTATGTTTCGATATATCAATGACACACCTATGAATATCACAGTGCTAATATGGAAAAATATGTTCATATAAACATCTATTGTTCATCGTTTATTTGTATTTTACCTTACAAAACAACGTTTTAAATTTCATTAGCAAGATGATATTACCTGGAGAAAAGTGTTTTCCTACCTTGGCACTGGCCGTTGTCTATATTACAAACGTTGTTTTTGCAGTTAACAGGGCAAGACTGATTACAGAAACTGCCATGGAATCCAATATCACATTCTGAAATGTCGGTTATCTAATGTACCAATACAAATGACCAGTAAATTGTCACATGGCTCTCACAAACTATTACATATGTATGCTATATTTGATCGAACGGCGTGGCTCGTGTTTGTACATTTGTGTGCCTGCGTCTACTATTGCATTGTTGTACACTTTTATTTCGATACTTAATATTCTATAGATTATCTTAAATCTGCCTTTTACTTAACTCTTCAACGATCAATAAGCAATGTATCCATTCCTGCACAAAAGTAGTTCCCTAACCTTTGTAATGACAATTGTCCTGGTTACAGATGCTGTTTTGGTAGTCAATAGGGCACGACCGATTACAGAAGCTACTATAGAATTCTTAAAATATAGAAAAATTGTGACGAAAAGTATTATCTAAAGAGCTCCATATATTTATATTGTACTTACTACGAAAATCATTCAATCGTTTTATGAATTCATCAATAGACAAGCGTTACTGAATTGACGAAGCAAATTGTCGTTTGATATCAGAATTAAAACAAAGATGTTTTTTTTTTATTATATCTTAAGGATATTACTTTTTATCGTTATTTTGAAAATCAAGAATTGAAATTTGCTTGTGAACACTACTTACGAACACAATGACCTGACGTTTTGTCACATGTGTCAGTGCTACAGCCACTAGGACATGGTGTACAGGATGGTCCGTAGAATCCATCATTACAGCCTGAAATATGTTCAGTTATTACATGTTACAGTAGTATTGGAGACAAAATTGAATAACTCCATATTGAATATATCAACAATGCTTACACATGCCCAGTTGAAGCAAACTGTGTGTTTACATACATGTCAATATCAATTACATCGCAAGAATATCAACTTAATTTATTATTTTAATTATATACCTCTGTGATATTTATCCATCGTATAAAAGTATCTGCATTATTTATGGCGAACACTAAATATACACTGAAGACTTTTTCTACTATTTCCTGTTGACCACTTAAAATTATATCTAACAGAGCAGAAACAGACACAATGACGAAAAATTGGAACGGCTATACAAAATTCTTTGCAGGCATTGGATGAATATTATCTGTCAACTCAAACAGTGACATCTTGTGTTATATTCAGTGCTTAGATGTAAATCTGTCTAACACCTTTTTTGGTGCCAACTTTCAAACTGCAATGCATCGATTCTTTCGGTTATTTCGTACGGTTATATACATATATAATACTGTATAATATGTTCTTGACTCTCATTAGTACTGATTACGTTTTTTAAGGGGAAACGTTCAAACATAGCTGTGGTAGTGCAGCGGTTATTTAGATTGGGGATCGATACGAAATACAGGTTTACAATACATCATGAATAAACAACAAAATATCGGACTAATCAGGTGCGAGATTAAAACTCAATAATGTGTTACTAACTGACATCGGGTTGTCAGTCTTGACCTAACGATTTTAGTACATACTAACATCAGCTTGCGCGTTGGTTGTGATTTTACAGAGTCTTAGCAATCGATTGAGATAACCCGAATACGCTTAGTTACATGTTCTATATTGTTAATGTCTATTTCAGATGTATATTTCTGGTAAAAAGTACAGCAGGGTAATCGTTATAAAGGAACATCTGTCTTACCTGTGCACTGACCATTGTCCTTGTTACAAACATTGTTTTTGCAGTAACTAGAGCAAGGCTGATCACAAAAACTACTGTAGAATCCAATAAAACATTCTGTGTTGAAAAGAAACATACTTTTATCTGGCGACTTTCATTAAGCAACGTAAATAACACTCTATTCATTATTTCCAACACAGACTAACAAATTGTCGTTGACGATGTCGTTTTGTAGTCCAGTTATGTGACTGCACAACAAATTAAAGGCAAAATATACTAACCAGCAATTACATATACACAACGAACCTTATTTCAAATATTCCATTGATCAAAACCAATTTTATTTAATTGCACATTTTTGTGGACATAAGCACAGAACGAGTTGATCGAATGCTGAATTATACAACTGTGAGCATCGTGTGTGGACGATGTATGCACGGCGTGCTCATGCTAGTTTTGGGTGCAATGTGCTCTCACACAATTGCAAGGTTGGAATTATGTTACAGAATCTTGACCCTCGATTGAGATTTCCCGATTTACTCAGTTACAAATTATGCATTGTAAAAGACCTATTTCAGTGTATTCCTAGCATACATCAGTATATTCATTTTTAAAATAAAATTTGTTTTACCTGTGCATTGAGCATTGTCCTTGTAACAAACGTTGTTTTTACAGTTAACAGGGCAAGACTGATTACAAAAACTGCCATAAAATCCAATATCACATTCTGAAAAGAAAGAAAACAAAACAATATGAAACAGTTTATTCTCGCAACCTTAATTTAGCCGATATTTGTCACGCAAAATGTATTATCTTATTTATTTTTTCCAAATAAATGGTAATGTTTGATCATCAGGATGAACGATTTTCTCCTACGGATCAGTTAACTGTAGACAAGTAGCACTTCAACTATGTAACTGTCATAATCGGATGAGATTTTGAGTAATCACTTCAGCAGTATATTATTGATAAACTCTTTGGAAGTGAAACAAATATTTTATCAGTAGTGTAAAACTGTCAATCCTTCATCACAAAAGTATACGCTGATGAATAGGCATGTATCTGTAGTCACTTTATTGTAACGTTTCAACTCCCGACCGAATAAATTAAATAACATGTTGATCTTGTAAGCATCCAAGAAACTTTCTGAAAGATGACGATGAATACTACTTACGAACACAATGTCCTGACGTTTTGTCACATGTGTCAGGGCTACAGCCAACAGGACATGGTGTACAGAATGGTCCGTAGTATCCATCAATACAGTCTGAAATATGATAAATGTTTGAACTGAACGTGTAAATATTGAAAGGTTACACTTAATAATGTTGAATACCTTTAAACACATCTGCAGGAATCATTACGTTGTAGTTGGATAACCAATTGTCTAAATTATATAACTATGACAAATGAGCTTTGAATGGATTTAAATGTTCAAAGTGCATTCCGATGTTCTGCCAATTCATGTTATGCTTCGATATGCAAAACAAATGTAGCAATCCAACAACTTTTCTTGATGGGTTTTATTCGATGGAATACTTTATTGTTCATGGAATTTGTCACAAATTGTGATTGTAGTAAATAAACTAGAACTACATACACGTATGCCAACTTCTATGTCTGCACAATTATACCTTGCAACTGTGTTAATATAGTTTAAATTCCGCATTGCAACTTATAAAAAATAAAATAAACTGATTGTAGACCAATAAGAATTGCATGTATTTTATTGTGATACGTTGCAAGTCTTTAGAGTAGCCCTAAACCTAAATAGATGTATTTGTTGAACCATTTTTGTATGTATATTTGTTCTGACAAGAATGCTACGTAGTACCTGTACACTGGCCTTCAACAGGACAGCTTGTGTCCTTACAGTTTACTGGACATCTGCACAATGTGCCTGAAAATCCCGCTGTGCAGCCGTCTGTAAAGTAGGAGTGATAATGATTTTACAAATTGTAAATGTACCAGGTGCACAATCAAAATGGAATAGTGTATCTATCGTACAGATTGTTTATTGCTAGTATTAATTAAGGTGAGTTTCCTTCAATACAACTTAAGAACAACAAAAAGCCAAATATACCGCAAACATAGCAAATTCCTTCCCCATGCGATTGCATCTTTATATTACTCTCGTCACTTTCATAGGCAGCCGCTAGAAGAAAGTGGACAGGCAACGTTTAGCGAACAGATTTACATATGCATGCTGGTTTGTGTTCGGCGTTGGGGTTGACTTTTAGACGAGTACTGACACATGCCCTTCTCAGGAGACTGTTCATTGTATAACGTCAATAATATTGGTATTTTTACACGTGCATATTGACATAATATAATTAATTTTTAATTATTTCGTCCAAAACCCATATCCGCACATGACGTTTTAACTGAAATATTGCGTTGAAACTAAAATTTAATTTGAATGATAGTGGGTTATCCTAAATACATTAAGTATCTACACATAATGTGAATCTAATTAACACGTTGGCATATGTAGTTATTCTCATTACTTAGAAAGAGGCTCAGGGCCTTTATCTCATCTTGATTTTTTTTTAATTTAAAAAATTTAAATACTGTACACTTTAAGCAAAATAAAATACAAGGAATCACCAGGGGTGGGTAAGACACCGCAGAAATGTAAGTATATGTGTCTTCATACCTAGTATTTATTATCACCATAGGATGGATATTTCAACTGTTCCCATACTATTACCAATTTACATGGTCAGATTCCGGGGCCATTCCGATCAGTATGATTGTATTCTTCATTTGTAAGTCTGTGCTTGAAGTCTGGGGAATTTGTCCACATCACCGTATAGCGTGACCCCCAAGCTTCATATGGGAACATATGTGTATCTGTCCCTTCATACCTAGCACATGACTGTAGGGGGGTGGGGAGTGGGGTGTCATTTTAACAGTTTGTTTGTTATGACTAGGGATACAACACCAACTGGTGTTGCAAAAACCCATGGACCAATCCTAATAGCATGAGTGTATTGGTCTCTTCACGTCAAACAATGACGTTAATCTTTGGCATTGTATAATATTAATATTGACCAAGTTTCATCTGAATCCGGTCATTTTTGACAGTTATTGTGCAGATACCGTCAACAGATCAGACCGCAAAATGCTAATAAATTGTTGGGAAAACAACTATAGTCCCCTGATACTCCACCTCTGAAGTCTTTAAATGGTATTGCCTTTGTTCTGCTAAAGCTACGTGACGATACAAATAAGGAGTTATTAGTACATCTTTTGCTGCTGCTTGTCTTTCTCAAAACCAATCGTAATATTAACGCAAAGTATTTGTAAATGAGATGAAATAATAATCAAGAAAATAGATCTATCATAGCAAAACAAATGTCCTATCCCCTCTATCTGAGGGTGCAAAGCAAGTAAGCGTTATATCTTACCTGTACAAGCTCCAGTAAGACTGTCGCATTTATTTACCGCACAGTTAACCGGACATGGGACGCAAAATGCACCGGTTTTATGATATCCAGCAGCGCAATCTCCTGAAATTCGGGTTTGGTAGAAATAAATAATGCTGTATTTTATAGTTTTAGTTAAAGCCATTTTGTGTGTACACGTTAGCATACAATGTATACATTGTGGTATCCAACGCTGAAAACACAGTACATATCAGGTCAAGTTGTATTTCAATTTGATGTTAATCGCATTGCACTGTCTTATCAGTGCTAGAAACGATCCTTTCTAATTTGATTTTGTTTGAATGTTTTTTTTCAATTACCTTTTATTGATCGTACAATCCTACCAAATGACACATTTGTGCAAGCATGTCTAAACCACGGAGGCAACAACTGCCTCAACATAGATCTTCGCACCATGTAAACAGTACGTTTGGTGCGTTTTGTTACTCAAAAACATGTAATGTCAATGAACTAGCTTATTCAAAAATATTTCATATGTACGCGTATAGTGGTTAACACAAAACAATCATTTTTGACACTTTAAACACTATAAACATCTTAATTTGCTGACATTGATAGAACAGCTTCATTAATCTGAGTAACTTATCAACTAATTAAGTTATCAACTAATATAAATATAATACTCACGAGAGCGGAAATTACTAGCGTTAAAGTCAGATACTTTCTGGGTTTTTTTTAATTGTTTTTTTTATTCATTTTATTTTCATGACATGATACAACACCTATGGTACATGATTGTTAAGCTGTTAAAACTTCTTAAGAGTTGTTGTTAATAAAAAAAAATCACTATGAACACATACCTGTACCTATATTCGCACACAGACACACATACACTTACAGTTAAACACTCACACAAATTGATATATAAATAAATTATTAATAAATAAATGGTATTCGTGACATTAGGTATACAGACAAGAATCAAATGCACACAAAAGACAAAGGACAAGACATGTGGGACAAAACAAGGACAAGGGAAACCTAAGTCAGAAAGATGTTATATTAATTTCTTTTAATTTTTAAATTTGCAACCAGTGAAGTATTTGTGTATTAATCTGTATTTTATTTTTAATATAACTTTTAGATATTAGGATTTTGTGAGCTTTTAATTCGAATTTGATATGATTTTTTAGACCATTCAGATTGAGTTCTCTTTCAAGGCATTCTGATTAATATATGTATTGTTTTACCGTGAGTAATATCAAGTTATCAAGGTTGAACTTTGTATATTTATTAATTTGCTTGCCAAAGATGAATTCTTTTTTATTAAATCGAAGGCCAAGATTTTTAGCAATAATCGTAATTCTTATATGTTCTATCAAATTAGATACCTTTTCACAATCCCATAATATATGTGTTATTGTTTCTGGATGAGTTTTACAAAAAGTGCACATATAGTTATCTAATTTACCAATTTGAAATAAAAAAATTGTTTGTGGTTAGGATTCTATGATTTATTCTGAATAGTAACCATTGTAGTTTGGAACTGGTACAGGTATTGAAAGGATATTTGTATATATTTTTCCATGTTTCTTCATCAATTTTGAAATTTTGATTACATTTGTTTTGGGCGGTAGGTTTAACTTCATTTTTCATTAATATGGTATATATTTGACGAGCTCCTTTTTTACATCTTAGGATTAACATAGTATTATTTTCTGAATCGAAAGCTTGGCGGTTCTTCCTTATGTACTGACCTATAACATTTTTCAGACTCTGATAACTTAAAAAATTGGCACGAATGTAAAATTTTTCACAAAATTCTTCTAAGCTGTATAAAGATCTATCTTTTTTAATAATGTTATGGATAAAATGTACCCCTTTTTTGTACCATGTATTATTGAAGATAACTTTTCGATCTATTTTTATTTCACTGTTAAACCATATTGGATTTTCACTAATATTTGTTTTGTATATTTTGCTTGCAGTGATAGTTTTATACCAGGCATCTAAAACATCTTTCCAAAATACATTTTTACAATGTTTTGATATTTCTTTCAATTTCTCAATTCCAATATTTGCTAATTTCTGTTTATCAAATAACGATTCCACAACAATACCCCAATTTCCTAGTTTACTATATATCCTTCTAATCCAAGTTGCTTAAGGAGTTATAAAAGATTTTAGATGTATCATTTTAAGCCCCCCTTCTTCATAGTTTTTTTTTTTTATTATATCCCTTTTTACCTGAACTGGTTTACCATTCCATAGAAAATTGTACAATGTATTGTTAATTTGTTTAATATATAAGTCGTCAGGATTGGGAAGCGATATAAACAAATGATTAAACTGAGATATTAGTAGAGTTTTGATAACAACTATTTTACCTATTGGTGTAAGTATTCTTTTGTTCCAGACAGATATTAAAGACTTTAATTTTGCAAGCTTTTTGTCAAAATTCAGTTTGATAATTCTGTGAAGGTCTACATCGTATTCTATGCCAAATAGAGTAAAGCGTGCACTTCCCCATTTTAAGTCAAAATTTGTAATAAAAGTGTTTTCATTGTATTTTTTGCTGCCAATCCATATTACCTGGGTCTTGGAGAAGTTCATTTTTAGTCCTGAAATACTAGCAAAGTAGTTAAGAGCTTTTAATGTTTCATCTAAAGATTTTTTTGAACCATCTAGAATAACAGATGTGTCATCAGCAAATTGTGATAAGAGAATTTCCTTTTCCCTGATAAGTATTCCTTTGATATTTGTATTAGGTCAGGTTTTTTTTTGGTCCATATTCTAATATATGCTAATTTTTTTTCGAGGTATTGGGTCTACAGTCATTTACATTTAATGGAACTTTGGAACACTAATCCTAATATTCCCTGCATGAACGTTCAAGATGTTATAGATATGCTACATCTCTAACCGACAGGTCAAATGACACAGGTTCATGCGCAGGTAAAAATTATGTATTGTCTAGTGTTTGTTATATGCAGAACAACGTTGGGTTAGAAGTATTTGCATACCTTATATGCAAAGGTTCATTCGGCAAGAAAATCAAAAAATATTTGAAACCATCATAAAAATAAAACCAACACAGGACACATAATATTCGTTATGGCATGTCTTTTTCATTTAGTTTGTACATCACTGTGTTTTTATGTGTTACCGGTACTGTTATGTTGTATGTTTTTAAGCTTTCTAGGGTTTTTTTAAATTCTCAGATTGTCGAACCTTCTTTTTTAGAATATTTTTCTACAAATAAGATGTCGCTGTAATATACAGAAATATCAGAAAAATACCGAAATTAATATAATATTTCATTCACAGATATATACAATTTAATTGGTTTATAGGTATCGATTTACTTATAAAAAAACTCCCCGCTTTCTTTGTGATCAAAGATATATACGATCGCGGTGGTAAAAGTATTTCTTCTTTTTTTTAAACAACACATCGTATATCTGTATGAATGTGAAATGAAAGGTAGGGTTATTGTAAACAGTCCTAATGAACTCTTTAATAAATTCAGCCTCGTACGAAACACTGTTTCTTCCTATAAGAATGCCTGCAATATTCCAGAGGGTCTTGCCACTGAACTTTACACAGATCATTTTCCCTTTGTTGTACTCGGCATATATGCTCCAAAATTATCTACAAGCATATATATTTATATCTAAAGCTCTCACAATAGGAGTAAAAGAGCGTCCCTTCATTTTGGTATTAGGAATGATAGACAGTGGAGAAGTCTAAGAGAAGAAGCATTGTCGTTCTGTCAGAAGTGTGATATATCAATAGGTCTATAGCATAAGTGTCAGTAGGTCTATATCATAGGTGTATTTCAGACATTTGTAACGAACCCCTGTTGATCAGTGCAATGTAACAGACGGTATTTCTGATAAATTGCATGAGCATTAAAAGTTGTTTCCATTGCCGGCATTGGTTATTTCAACATATGTGGATTTTGTACGATATCGCAGACCTTAGTCTTGTTTTGTTGTAATAGAAGGTGTTTTTTTTTTCATATTGTCTTTTTTTGGCACATTTAAAATTACATTGTCAAGCATCACATTGCCCAGCGATATTTCAGTAGCTGTCATGTTTATTTACATTGGATATTGTAGTTCCGGTCGGTGTTGTATTAATACGCTAAGAATTATGTCTTGTGGTGCATGACATTTAAAGTCCCATAAACGACAAAGCTTTTAAATAGCCTATATAGTGACAATGCCATGCAAATGTAAATATCATGTATTACGAGTACACATAGATTTGATCCTAAAAATCACATGAATGTGGTCATATTAAGCAAACACTTAAAAAATACCACTCACAAAGACAGATGCCATATCATAAAACAACCAGGGTCAATGGGCGCATGGAAAACTACATTTATTGAAGCATTAGCTATATGTACGAATGTTCTCATTTCTTAGGTATGAAATACCCGAAAACATATTTGCTCTACAATTCTCATTATTGTTCATACGTAGGAAATTTCAGAGAACAAGGATACGTACCACATGTACCAGATGTTGCGTCACACATGTTATTGACACAGTTCATGCAGTCGTTATTGCAATTTCCATTTCCGTACTTTCCAACTGGACACCCTGGAAAAGAAATGCAATGTCTACTAACGAAATTTGAGCATTATATCCAGGTGATACGATGTGTTGATACTGAGCAGGGGCAACTTTTGTATTACTTTAGATGTATTATGCATTATATCCCGTATTATGTATAAAAGCAAACGGAATTCGTACTAATTGAATGTAAATATTCTTTCTCACAACCACATACATGACCCAACCTTAATAACAAAATAGGAGTAGAATTGAGTGGGTTGTACCATTTCATATGTTATTGTATAAGTAATAATACTGTTTTAAGTGCATTAAACTAGCAATGCCATTGTAAAGCGGTGTAACAATGAAGGCAAGTGTCTAATTCTTTATTCTAATTATATATATATATATATATTGTAATGATATTCATGGTCAATTTTAAGTTAATGTTAGCAAGTGATTCGTTCATTGTTGCCATTTGCAATGTTGCCTGCTATTTATAACGTGGGGTAGTTGGTTGAAATATGAATATACCCGATGTTGGCTATAGTTTATAATGTTGTTTTTTTTAAATGTTTTTATCTGACACATAGTTTAACTACATTGATAAATGCAAATATGTTGTCGCACATGGATATCACGTATAACACTTAGAAATAGCTTGAAAACGACAATTAACACCTCTATTTTAGTATTGCAATCTATTACCGAGTCATATTCTGTAACATATTTTAGCCGAGCCTCTACAGACTCCAATGTTTTGAGTTCCATTACCCGATCAAATGTGAAATGTCACATAAAAAGATATTCCGTTCGAGCCAGAGTTAAAAATGTTATGTAATAATTGTTGTTATATAGACATTGCTAATGTATAAACATCAGAAAACGGCGGCTTAAAAATATCGTTTTATCGATCCTTAATGAACAAAGACTTTAAATATGAAAAATCACAGGAATTCAATAAACATAAGAATATACTCCTAGTAGTTGTACTATGATATTTAACAAATGTAAAATGTGTAAAGTTCCTGAATTATCACAACGTATTGATAAAATAATATTGATAAGATAAATAGGGTGTGTAAATAACCAATGCAGATTCACAGATGTTGTTTAACAAGCAGGTTCGTCGTCATGAATTGTACGTAATATTTAATCAGAACCATGCACACATTTCTATGTTCCAAACAATTTTCTTATACAAATATAAATAAAGAGGTCACAATATGGTTTATATTCGTAGAAGTAAAAGTTGGCAAAAAAACTGGCTCTATTTTAACCAGATAATTCCCAGTGCCAATATTTGACCAGAAAATGTCTTTAATTGAAATAAATCCCCGACGTAAAAGCGATCCAGGAACGAATATATATTTACAAATTATCTCTACACGTTCGGTATTATATCATTATTTGACGTCACTTTCCTTTCGTTCGTCTTTTCTAAATACGATGACCTTGTTTTTATTTCCATAAGTTGTTTTTAAGTCCATGTGTTGCAGTATGTCTCATTCTTACTGTTGTGTGCATCAGTTTCATTTATGTGATATCATCAGAACAGCGTATATATTGTCAAATATGTGGGGTTGAGGCTGGGGCGGTATTATTGATTAACATGTCACCTGACCGTCTATCTACATTGTAATACGATGCATCCCTGGGTATAGCAGTGAGAACGACTTTAATCTGATGTCTTTCCGCAGACAGTTTTCTATATTTGAACGCTATGTGTTGATATGCTGTGTAATCATATGACATACAGTGTTTCTATTTAATAAATTGATAAGATATATATTCGGTCATGAAAATGCGTAGTTTGTTGACATTAACTAAAAGATGTTTCGTATCTATCCTCAAATATTTAGTGCCATAAAATGACATCAACATATTGAACACTAATTCCGTAAAACATTGAGTTAAAAAGTTGTTATACATAATCAGTCAAAATTGTGAATTAATTTATAATAATACAATAAATACATATGTTAAATACATCATTAGTTCAGTTCTGTGATAGATATGAGTTAACTCACCATAAACTTGTACTTCACACAGTTCCAGTATAGCATCATCCGAGTACCACGCTTTTGCTTTTACTCGACGGTCATTGTAGATGGTCAGATACCGGGCGACACCTGGACATTGGACGTTCTGTATCACAGACACGGACGCCAGGTCAGCTGTGGTGTCCTTATGACACCTTGTTCCTGATGTCCAGTCTTGTGTATAAGACAGGTATACCTCGTATCCGGCGAGTCTGCTTAGAAAGTTCTCATCTACAAAAATTATATAATATATATCGTAATTCAGTTTCAGAGTTTCAGCTTCATAGGTAAAACGTACTGCAGTTATTCATTTACTTTCTGTATCAACAAGTGGAATATAGAGGACATTTAACAGTGTCTTTAGTAATACCGAATATATTTTACGACTGTGGCTAATAGTTTGATACCTTTCAAGAGTGAACAGCACGAGTGAACTATATCAAACTATTAACAAAACTCGTGAAATACATTTGGTATTACTGAAGACACTGTTAGACATTCTATGCAATGCATTGTGGAATATCTACCCCGGAACTCAAAACGACACATCAAGCTAACACTACTTGATCTGGATAATTTTACCACTAGCATGTCCAGACAACCCTACGCGACAAAAACATAGTCATATTTTCAATAAAGTATGCTAAATTACTATTATAATTTAATTAATAAGGGAGAGTACCATCGTATCAACTCAGATCACTACGCTTTGTTGAGTCGCAGAGTTTTTTTGTCACCACTTATCTTGATAATAAAATATCAACACCATCTATGTAAGTTATAGTTATGACCCTGGTTCTCTTATACTTTCTGTCAATCACTTAGTTTAACTTGGGACTTGGAGACGCTGACACCGTGTTTCATTTCACACGGGTTTTAAAAATGAAAATTAACTGTGGAATTAAACGTTGTGTTTCATCCAGAAAATAAGTCCCCCTTAATAGGTAATAGATAATTAGTCTGGTCAGTAAAATGGGCTGATGACTAAAACGGATTTTTGCGAGGTCTCCGTATCGTTAAGCTAACCAGGCTTTATCCGGATTGGCCATCTGTAATTTTCCCCATGGTAGATTGTAACCAGTGTTTTGATTGGTCACAAACATGATACAGACGCTATTAAACGAAACTTAATCAGCTTTTCTTAACTACTTTAGCCAATTGAGATATTCGATAAAGTGTGTAATCTTATGTTATTCAAAGAATGGTCGGCTAGTATAGTGGATAGCACATTTGCCTTTTACCAATAAGGCCGTGATTCGATTTCCTAGTCTATCGTAAGAAGATATGATTTGGTTTGGTGTGTTTATATCTTACGTTTTTGTAAACGTACGCATAAGGAAAAACGGAGTACCCGAAGAAAAAAAACACCGACAGTACATTGCGACTGTCATACGTAGGAAAAGAGAGTTTAAGATTGCGACCGTGGTGGTCATACTTTGTGCCGCTCTGTTGTGTATATGGTCATTGTGGTGTTCCCCGCCATTGATCAGTCATTCGGAGTAGAGAAATTCTTCGAATTGGCTTCTAAATATATCAAGTCGTTTTATTATTGAACTGCACAATGAATATATGTAAATGTAATGCATACATACATGTACTTAGCGACAGACTACCGAACAGTGCTCATATGAAGTCGTCAAAACAACCTGCATTGGGCACTCTTATTTGTCTCGCTTTACTGCTTAGCGGAAATGTAGACATTAACACAAATATGACTTAATATTACCAAAATGCCAGGAGTGTTGTAAATAAATTGGGCTTACTAAACGCAAATTTCTGCCCTTCACAATACGAAATTATAGCTTTTACAGAAGCTTTGCTCCACGAAAAAGTACTTAATAGTGAATTTTCGATTACTCATATTTTATCTGTTTTGGAATGATAGGAATTCTACAAACTCCGAAGTAGGATGTGTCTCCTTTGCTATAAACATAAAATGTCAGTGTGTGCATCAACAATAATTCCAGAAGGACTTCGAGGAAGTTTGGGTTGAGAAAACTTCAAACAAACTCAAGCTATATGTGTTGTGTGTATCTTTCCCGAGAATGTTATGTTACCTATATAAATGAATTCCACACATCTATCGATCAAGTATTCGATGCTATGGACGGAAACAGAAATATACACTGTACTGATTTTCGGCGATTTTGATCTACCTGATTGTATGTGGACAATGTCATCAACATAATCCCATCTAGAGCCCCAGTATAAACAAAGACGACATCCGTTACGTATCTGTTCTAAATTCGCTCAGTGAACACTCACTCAACAAATTTGTATCGGAGCCAACTAGGCATGACATGGATTTGGACTGGTTATTGAGTTTTATTCAGACAGTAACGGTTAACGCTCCGATCCTATCCTGGCATTTAATCATAGAGCCGTGACCGGGAACGGGCGCATAACTGCTCTACAGAGCAACGGTACATCAGACCGTACAGCTACAAGCTGATATTCCACAATCCACAATAAAGGCTTGTATATCCCAAGTGAATAACGTAAACGTCGTTTACCGGTATGGTTTGACAATGATGTCATTGCGGCCGTCAAGGGAAAGGGATAAGCATTATGTAAAAGCTGGGAAATGCCGTAATTCCCCGCAAACTATGACAGTTTCAACTGCTAGGTAAGAACTAGAAAATTACAAACGGCAAAATACAAAGAGTAACTTTTAAACGTTGAACTCATTTTGAAAGACAAACCTTAACGATTTTGGCGGTTTGTTACAGGAAAGATGAAAGAGGGGTCTATACCTGAGAGTATGTTTTATTCTTAGACTTACTGGACATCTATGAAGGCCTCTGACAATATAGAATATGCAAATCTTTTCAAATTTTGTTCTTTAGAAATTTTTATAGTAATGAACGTGTGACAAATTTCCCTACAGTTCCGATTACCAATGACTGTTGCAACCCGAACGGAGCGTTCGTGAACAATTCTGCTATATTCGGACCAAAACTGTTTATTATGTTTATCAATGACCTTTCATCTGTGGTAGAGTTTTCAAAAAAACTTGTTATTCGTAGATGATCCTAAAATATACAATTCAGAAAGATAAAATATGACTGTAATAAAGAGTCTACAGCAAGATGTTCACAACGTGTACAAATGGTGTGTTCAAAGGAAATGTCCATGAATGCGAAGAAATGATGTCAAATTAGTTTTTAATAAGAAAATGTCAATAAATTTTAAGTACACAATGGGAGGTGAAACATTTTGAAGAGTGAAAGTTGTGTGAAAGATCTTGGTTTTGGATGTTATCTACCTTGAATTTTAATCGTCACGTTAACAAAGCTGTATCCAAGGCAATGCAAACCTTTGGCTCCCTGAAACGTACATGTAGAAATGTTATACTGATACATCTGTCATCCGTTCTTTATAAATTAGAATGGTCAGAAACAAATTAGAATATGCTTGTGGAATATGGTGTCCATATCGAACTACTCTGGCACATCAATAAGGAGTAGTTCAGCGAAAGTTTCTTTAATTTGATGCTTTAACGCAAAGATTGACTGTGGTGTTTTAACGTATGAAGAAATATGTCCTTATTTCACTTTACCCACTCTTTTAAAACGTATAATATATTGATATGATTTGCTCCTTCTTAAGTGTGTCAACAGTATGTTCGACTGTCCATATCTTATTGAAGTTAATTGTTCCAAACTGATCTCTTAGATCCAGCTGTACGGTGCGTTATATCCAACCAAGAGTCGTATTGACGTAAGGAAAAACGGTGTTTTAATCAGGTGTCAGAATAGTTTCAATCAGATAGTCTTTTTAGTGGATCACTTAAAGTATTTAAAACTGAGATGAAACAGAATAGTTTTTACCCCTTACCCTTGTATTTTATGTATTATGTATACTTTTACATTAGGTCATTGATATTGTAACATGTAATTTCCTGTGATCTGTTATTAGTTATTAACATGTAAGTGGGCCTTATGGCCTGTTGGACTGAAATAGATAAGAATAAAAAAAGAAAAAATAGGCCGCGAACCATCGACCAAGCGTTGGAGCGGTAGTCACTTGGTCGCCGCGCCCCGAAAAGGTACGTAGGTTTTCCCCGGGTAACTCGGTTTGCTCCAGCATTAAAATCGGATCCAACAAGAATAATTAATACAGTTGCATAGAGGTTGCTCCACTATTGCTTGAAAATAAACAGTTCAAATTATATGTGATGTTTTGGAACCTACCAATTTTACATACCTCCGAAATAAGTTCCTTAATAAGTTGCCATCCAGCGAGAACCTTACCTCTATATATAATATTCACGGAGTCTATGACGGACTGTGTCTGTAGATTAACCTGCCACCAGGCTTCGGTCTGACCTGTGGCCGTGTGTGTACAGCAGTTAGAGAGCATGGTTGTGCGGACACATCCGTCTACGGCTTTAGAGCTGTCGTAGTTATTGTGGACACCACTTTGATTAGTGGCTTTACCAGAGGCGATGTTTTCTGAAGAATAAGGTCGAATAACATTTTTTGAATATTTTTGATTCTGAATCCATGTTGTTGATTTATAAATATGTTATGAGAAATCTTCTCGAAGTTATTGCGTAAAATATAACGTGTTAATAAAACAACAAAGTATTCACCCTTAATACTATACAAAGAACGAATATACATTTGCAGAAAAAATAGATGAACATACAAAAAACCCTGACCATTCAAGGCTTGGTAATAAACAGACTGCAATTTTGAACACAAACAGGGTAACGAGAGCTACATGTACATATCTTTTTCATTAGTGCTATTATTTTTCCGTTGTCACTTATCCGGATCTCGCTTTGCATATATGGCCAGGACAACTCGAGTTCAAGCGGGGAGGCAATACGTGTTGTATCTCTCTCTCTTATGCGATCAGTATAACCCAATCAAGTAGGCTGGTATGCAGATGAGTTTAAGTCATACGTAATAAATGGAGCATAATACAGTGTCTCATGCGTAGTTAGTAAATAGTCAAACCATTCTCCCAAGGAGTTAAACCCACCGAATGAACTGCGGGCTGAGTGAAATACTTTATCTGGTGGGTTCATTGCGATTATATATTAAATGCGACAACACTCAATCGTCAATAGTTCCAAAGCTTTCATCATGTTGGCCTGCATTTGTTCATCACAGACAACAGCACGTTTGTAAAGCAAATGCGTTCGATTATATCGCACGTGGCTGGTCGAAAATCGACGTTTAGCACCACTTTTTCACTTGACCAATCAACAGTCGTACAGTAGCAAAACATAAGCGTGTTACGTGTACGCTTAGTAATTTTAAGAGGAAAAAAGTCAAAACTGCTTAATGATAGTTAAATATAGATTCAGGTAACGCACAATATGTACCACATGTCATCCTCCGATATCGGCAACGATCGGGCTGATAAGTAATTTTCCCGTTATTTATTGCATTAAATCAACAAAATGTTGTTAATAAGCAAACTGCAGTAACCAGTTGATAACCATTTAGGCAATTGCTGTTTATTTCGTGGCCTGGTTAAATATGTTGTAATTACGAAAGCAAATTTAATTAAAAAACAAACAAATTTAAGATGTTTATGATAGAACTGAATAATTCAAAAGAAAGTATAAGCCCTGCCGTTTGCTTATGATAGTACTTCATATTTGAAAAAAAAATCAGAATAAGCAAGCGTGTTTTATTAAAACTAGTAGTATACGGTTATCAAAGTTATTGAAGCCATTATGGGAGTTTGATGTTTGATATGATAAGGTCACAAGAGTTGGCATTCCTGATGATTCTCAAGTGTAACAGAAAGTTAGAGTTATCTTTCTTTGTATAAATAAAGAATGTGGCACATTGCACCTCTGCAATTGTTTTGCGCTTGTTCTGGAAAACTTTATCTTCATATTGCGGTAAAGTCGAAGTGTGGTCTGTTTCCTGTTGTATTTTATCAAATTAAGTGGTTGCAAAAAAAATAAAAATAAAGTCAATTAAAGTTAATTGGTTGTCTCCCTCCGAATTGGGAGAGTTGGCAAGCATGAAACTGAAACGCACTACCCTGAAGTTGTTCAGAAATGATACATAATTTGTTCCACCATATCTGGAAATCTGTTCGTTATTTTTTTTGTAAAGTCTTTACATGTAGTAAAGAAATCATTGTAAAGGACCCAATAGAATAAATGTTAGGATGAGCTTATCAGATAAATGTAATATCCAAATGATTTGATGTGCATTATAGCAAAATGACAATAGATCATTTTGCTGTAGTAAAGTACACTGGTATTTTTGTTTAGACTATAATGTTATTGATCCAAACATAATGTAAGTTTAAACAATTGTACAGTGTTTTAAATTTTTCAAATGTAAATTATTATTAATATCAAGCTTGTTTTAAGGTATATGTAGCATAATTAAATTTAAATATAATCTATATGTGTGTTATACTTGTGTGTGATAGTATATTTATTTATCATACCTGTGTGTGATGATATATATGTGTATAATACATATGTTTGATAGTAAATCATGTATACGCTATGTAAAATGTGTAATGTGCACTAAAGAACGTAATGTCTCGCCATGTACTTATTATTGATTTGCTTTGTTACATGATATATGCTCGTCAAAATTTGATGGAGATGTATCTTAATTGAGGACTTCTTACCCATCGTAATACACATGATTTTTTCGTCTTATTTTCGTGTCGTCATTTCCGTATTGCCTATCGGGGATTTCAATACCGTAGTGCAACACATAGTAACACCGGGTAAACAAAAGTACACGTGCGTGACGATGTTACGTCAACACCCGATATTGAGACTTAAGGTTCATCAAGCCCACTGAAAGAGGCAATATAGTCACCCGAAATTCCAAACCCAATATAGACCATATTCAAAGTCCCTAATTAAAAACTGGAAATAATAGGTAATTTAAATATATTGGACTTGTACATTAGCTTTTTAAATAATACATTGCGAAGATAGCATAGTCAATAATAAAACATTAAGGCTGACGTTTTCATCAAAATAGTTAATCGGACTTATGACATGTCAATCTCTTTTGAAGCCCAACGGAATGCTACGAAATGACATATTGTATAAAATTAATTTATACTCCAATTTCATGTGAAGCTTACTTCCTCTTCAACTAGCTATAAAAAGGCATGCCGGCCTCAAAAGTAAATGATTATTGCTTTGGAAATGCACAAAAGGCATATTTTACCAGTATATATATGTAAAAGAAAGGACTTTGTAACCGTTAAAAACACATAAACTATATATAGTGTCCTTTCGTATCATTTAATGTTTTTTTTTTTATAAACATGCTAGACATGTGATTTAACATTCAAACACTTTTCAGTTTCAATGTTTATAACATGTCTAGCGCATTCATAACATCACAAAGAGTTTTGAAATGGTACATCCTCTCAAGTTCATTTATTGATTTAGACAACGTAGCATTTAACTTCTTATTTATAATCTGCTAAAATATATTACCATGGCATTTTCCTATGATTTTAATCGTTTCGCATGGAAACATCTATCTTATTTTGAGGCTAGTAAGCCTCTCTACAGCTAGTAAAACAGAAATTAAGCTCCGGATGACCTAGGTATGTATGAACTTCAGATAGTATGTTATTTGATAATATGCATTTGGGTCGATTAAGTGAATCACATGTTATAAGTCCGGTGAACTATTTTTTGCAGACATCAGCCTTAATGTCCTATTCTTGTCTTAGTTAACCTCGCTATGGAACATTTTGATAGCTAATGTACAAGTTCAATATATCCAAACTACATATAAATGTTCTGATCTGTACTTGGAGTATTTGAATATAACCTATCAGGGGTTGACATTTAGGGTGACTATAGCTCTTTTGGGGGTTTGTTGAATCTTAACTGGCAAATGTGTAAGCATACGTACTTCAGAAATAAACAATCCGATACAAAGACATAGATTGACTCCCAGGAGGACACTGAAATGATACCAGACGACTTTAAGAATGTCATATATGAAGCGCATAGAATTCGGACTATATTTGAATGTTTAGAACCCGATGAAAAATGCATGTGTGGGTGCACATGAGAACGGCATACCATGCGATAGCCTTTGATTACATGTGTATCTGACTTGTAAATAAACTATGTGCTAGCGGGCTGTAAATTGATATCCAAAGTGTAAATGATTGAGAGTCATTTGGTTCCATAAAAGAACAATAAACTGTCACTTTTGATATCATTATTTTAATTGATTTCCATCATTTTTGAGATTTTAAAAGAGATAACTGCTATTGTGTAAATGTTACCCTCTGCAAAAAGTTCGGATTTTTTTCAAGGAAGACATCTCTCACCATGATCAAAGTGATTGTAAAATGAAAAATAGATTGCATAATATAGCAATTGTGAATATTTTGCTCAATGTTCTACTATTTTTGTATGAAACTTTGTGTCCTATTTGCTTTTATCTTCTAGATGATCACTTTATCCATACCATTTCAATACAAAAGACGTTGTGTAACACCTTTTCTATACTTTGTAATGCATACAATATTTGTAGGGTTAATTAGCAATGCTTTTCATTTTTTTATTGTTGTTACTGTTCCAAACAATGCCACAAACAAATTAAATGGAAAATATCAAAATTGACGAAAACTTTTTTGTATTGTTTTTTTCTCAAAAAGTTCATTAGTTGTTAGGGCTCTGCAATTAGAATGCTCTTTATAATTATGCATTGATCTGTACACTTCATCTTATTAGTTTCTATGAGTATTATGTATCAAATCATTAAGCTAAAGATATTGTGATTCTTATATTTTGCAGGCTGGTGAATTGTGCATGTGTACTGTCTAAAGTGATTATGATGTCATATTTTTGATCATTAGTTCAATCTTCACTCTTTCATTGCAAATGTATCAAACTGTTTTTTACCAATAAATCATGTGAAGTTAATCAGAAGTCCATTGTTTGATCTATTAATACTCTATAGGATTATTTGGGACTTTTTCCTCCCTTTTTATGCTCTCCAAAAAAGATTTTGGGACAATAATTTCTGACTTGTCGAGGAGAGCAATGACATGTTAGGGATATGCATGTATGTGGGATGGTAAAGCAATGTGCTACATGCATGTACCACTACTTTGTCCCTATGCCTAAGGTCAAAGTCACATATAGGTCAAAGGTCAAATTCATTTTCCAGGCAATTCTGAATTGATGAAGATAACTCAATACAAGTTATATATGTAAGATTGTAAGGCGGTATGTTATGAACCACTATGGGTTCTGTAAAGTCAAGGTCAATGTCTCATTAAGTTCAAAGGTCAAATGATTTTTAACTTGTATACCTCCTAAGGCAGATGATGTGTAGAAGGGAAACGGTTTGTTGCATTCCTCTTTGGGGTTTATTCACTATACACAGTTAAGTAACCTCAGAGATAATAATAGTACCAGGCATGAGTATGTCTGTCACATGTATAGATACATGCATGCATCATTTAACCTTTATTCCAGTACCGATGACCTTTTGAAGAGCATAATCCGTCAGGTTTGTTGATTTCTTGTTTCTTTATATAGTAAAATATTCAAGTATTGATGGAGGAATAATTTACCATATAAAGAAGCAAAGGCGTAGTGCATCGTTCATAAACTTACATTTTGTTTTAAGTCTTCTTAGGAAGCAGTGAATTAATTTCTTTCAAACTTCACAAGAATCGTCACTGGTGGAAGAGGTTATCAAATTGTATATTTGGCATTCCTGTCCCATTCCCAGGAAAAAACGGAAATCGGCTACAATTTCAAAACTATTTTTCCTCGGATTCGGATGTACTAGAATCGTATTCTCTACAAGGATGAAAAGTTCCCTTGGTGCTTTATCTAAATTATTTTTTTAATTACCAATGGGTCTTCAATTTTCCCCAGGGGAGGGTATAATGTTTACTATAGCTTAAACATGTATAAGAAAATAACACTTTCGGGTACAATTTGATTTGTCCATTTTCAACAGTAAGTGATTAAAACTTGGTTAGAATAATTATGATGTAATTGAAATTAGATGGTTCTAGAAAGTTAGGTACTGAACAGCTAGCGAGTGGGTCGGCCAAAAGTGAAAAAATGGCTGAATGATAAAATATTACTTCCCATTCCATACCAAAATAACTTGTAGTTTTTTCCCTATTGAAGACCTAATGCGTTAAGCATTTTTTCTTTGTTTACATGCTTATTACTTCCACTCTATGTCTCAACAATGAAAACTACCCAACTTATAATTCAGGTGACCACTAAAGCCTTTGAGTCTTATGTAAAACTATTCCATATTCAGATATACTATATGTACAATTGATCTTAACTGTCTTTGTTTTTCCACTTAATAAAAATATTGTGTGTCAATAAAATCCAATTTCTAGAAGTGTGTTAATAAATGTTTATGTTGACTATTCAATTTGAAAAAAACACACCTTATTCTCCATGTACCTTAAAACAAATTTGACATTAATAATAATTTATAATTGAAATATTTAAAACACTGTACAATTGTTTAAAAATACATTTTGTTTGAATCAATACCGTTATACTCTTAAAATTTTACCAGTATACTTTACTACAGCACAATATAGTGTATATCTATAAGATATTAACGGTTCAGTTTCATGCTTGCCAACTCTCTGAATATTGGAGGGAGACAACCAATTTAGACCTTTGAATCTTAATATGTTTACATCCAGTGAATTTGTTAACGATTTATTCTTAATTTTGATAGCATCTGAGAACAACTCAAAATATTCCAGTGCTACCTGTCTGGATCTAATGCAATGCAATACTGTTAACTCAACTTATATATATATATATAGATATACATGCAAATATATTTAAGTTACATTAAAGGTGTTGGTCTCGACAAGTATTATCGATGTAGGAATTTAAAATGAGTTCTGTGAAAATTGTAAGTTGTTTTCAGTATATTCAGAGACAGAAACTGCGACAATACACAGGGAGGATGAATAAAATACAACAGAAAAAAAGACTATTACTGCACCACTTCGACTTTACCGCGATAGGAAGTTAAAGTTTTTTCGAGCATGCGCAGCAAAAAATACGAAACTATGCATAAAAATAAAATATAGAGGTGCAATGTGCCACATACAGATAGTTTCCCATAATGCCATGTTTTTGTGTGAATTTCCGGCATGTTCAGTGTTATTTAGGGATTCTAGCAAGCACATGTGTGCACAACAAAATGTATCGTCGAGTTATTACTCTAGTATGAACCAATGACAAGGGGGAAGGGTGTCAGGAAAAGTAAGGGACCAGCAGTGTCTCTATCGCCACCCCGAATAAAGCGATATCAAATCTGCTTCTCGGTTGTAACCCATAATGCTACAAGAATTTAATTGATTGGGATTTAAATTTGATGGTTATTATTTGACTAATATCTTCAGATAGGCTGTTCATGATCATGTAGCTTGAATGGATAGTGCAGTGGAAGTCAGGGGATAATTCACTATTATATTATTTAGATAATTTCCTGTCTAGATGGAAACCAGTTCCACTCAATGTAAAAAAAAAAAATATTGGATTCCTTTTTTAGCTACCTGAGAATACTTGCGTGTGCTAATAGCTAATGAAAAGACAATGGGACCATGCACTGTGTTTGCTGGGGTTAGAAATTGACACTGTAAATCTCACAATAAAAAATCCTGTTGCCAAGGTAACTGAAATTTGTGAAAAATGGAAGAATGGATTAACAAAAAGTAAAGTCACTTTGAGGGAAATACAGTCTTTAATTGGGGCATTACAATTAGCTTGCAAAACAGCAAGACATTGCCGTGCATTTTGTCGGCTCTGAATTAATCATCTAAGGTTGACAAAGCCCCATCATCACATTCGGGTTACTGGTGCTATCATAAAGGATATTTAGGCTTGGTTGTAAGGGATTTTAATGGAGTTTCTTTTTTCTGAACAGGAGTTGCCAGCATTATGAAATTCTCACATCCAAGTCAGATTTGATCATAACATTGAAACAGTTGTACAAGTTGTCTGAATTGTGGCCAGTGCCTGTCAACCACCTGATAAAATGTATGGCCTTTCGTTCTTCTGTGGGGTGTCTCCGAGCACAACCCAAAGTTACCCAATCAAAGAGTGGGGGAATCCTACTAAAGCATTTTTGGTACAAGAAACTGTTGAAGGATATAGGCATATAGGCTTACCTTTTAGCGTTTTTTTAAGGGTTGGTAAACTAACTAGAACTGCCAAATCCGATCATGCTGTAGGAATACCTAATGTGTCGGTACACAATCTGGAGGTAATATTGAAATTAAATCACACAAAAAACTGACCCATCAGGTAAGGGCTCATGTACATGCCCAGATGTATATTTGTGTCCAGTTTATGCAATTTCAGCATTGCTAAAGATATGTCCCAAATCCCCCATCCGTGAACTCCTATATCATGCGTGTTGGGTTTCATTGTCCAGATACCAGTTTTCAGAAGTCATTGTTAAGGCCTTGCGTTCAACAAATATACCAGCAGCCAATTTTCAGACCCAGTTTCCGAATAGATGCTGCCCGGAGGCTGTATTAAATGGAATTCCAGATGAGCAGATTAAGGTTATGGGTCGGTGAAAATCGGCTTGTTTTATTCGTATCATTACAGTGTTTTTGGAGTTTGAGTTTAGTTTTTTTGAGATAAATGTATAATATTAAAGCTACCTCCGATAATTATTACTCTATTATGCATCCTTAATGACAACATTCATATGCTATAATATGGAATAGTAAACATGCAAATATTTATTGAAGAGGAGAAATGGTTAATTTGGATATACAAGCGATGACAGATAGATTAATTGTATGCTTAATTGTAATACATAGCCGTACCTTTATTGTGTACGTATGTACAGAAGTAAAAAAAACTATACATTGTACAGATATTTCAAAATGAAGACATATTTTATACAGTAAAATATATCTGGGTGTGTAGGAACATGTAATACAAATGCACAAACCAATTGATACGAGGATTTATAGCATGTCATTTTGCAGTCAGTACATTGTAAGCGCTATAAAAATAAAACACGCTTACCTTACCAGCACCCCGTGTTATTTATAGTAAATATATGTGGTTCTATTACTGCACCGGAGCGTTACACTGAACCATGCAAATATTGATTCACACATTTATATACAACTAGGGATATCCTTATACTGTAACATTGAAGATTTCACATCCTAGTTTATCATTTATGGCATAACAATTATTTGAAATTGAGTCTGTTGCTCCAAAATACAATAAACGTACACGTTAGCATGGTTATTAAGTAACGCATGTCTCTAACCATGCTTTTTAAAGTATTTTTTTATCTAGATAAAGGCGATGGTTCAATGTTGTTACGAGTACATGCAGTTAAGTATGACTCTCACCTGATGCGTTAACCACCGTCAATGTTGTTATTACTGACCAGCTGACCAGCAGGTACCGGTAAACTCCCATATCTGGTCGTGTACAGCGGCACACGCCTTGTCTAATACATCGTTTACCAACAAGGAAGTTCGTTACAGGTTTAGGGATACGATTTCACAGGTATTCACGGTATGAAAACCGGCCCTGTTTACAGTATACGGAGTTGGTTATCGAGTTTTTTTAAATTAGCTTTCATGCTTTTCTTGTTGTCAGGGTGTCTACCTGAGTGTTAAGCAGGAGCATCGTGCACTCTCAACACTAAACTAAAAATAATATTGTTTGACATTAAAACTGTCAAAATAGTATAATTAAACAGACTAACCTGTTACAGGACAGTCGTGCTACGGTTATTTTGGGCGGTTACCTGTACATGTACATATTTAATCACAATGACATGTTGGGTTAATACACCATCATACCCTGTCTCCTGCATAGACACACGCAAGCACGCATACATTACACACATGAAGGCACGTCCTTAAATGGCCTAAGCTTGTTAATAGGACGTTAAACAAAATTAAACCAAACCAAACAAAAATTAAAGTCATATTGAAATTAACATGAATTAAAGTTGTCTCCCTAAAGAAAACTGACCATTATATGTTATACTTTAATTTAACTATTATTTGGTAAATTCGAGTTTTCATTACGACTGTTACATCATTATGCATGTATTTTATTTTGGTGTATGTTTAACAGACAAAGGAACTATCTATTTGAAACTACGATCTTTATAGTATACATTCTAACGGAAATGGGATATTGATTGTATTGGCAGTAAGTAAAGATGTATTAACGATATAACGTGATCAGTAGCCTTCACAAGAGTAGACATACGAATAATGTCAAAACTTGAAAGAAAGTTTATCAAGTAAATCAGAAAATGTCTCTTTTTTTTGCAATTATGAATATTGATAATGCCTATTGGTCTGTTCAAGCATTCCGGACTTATTACCTCACACATGAAAACTACCGTTTTAGAGATAGGTTATAAATTATCCTAAAATTTTTAAACATCATGATTTATCTACATATTGTTATCTAAGATTTTAGCGATTTCCAAGTATTGTTAGCTACATATATTGATATATTGACGTTCCGGGTTTGATATAAAACGTGTCTTTTTAAGCGGCCGCTGTCTTTAGCACGTTTGATATGGTGGATACACGTATTCAGAAAAAAAATCCAGTACGAACAACATTCCATTTGCTTCACTCAAAAAATATGCTTGGTACGCAATATGTCGTCCTGTTTCTGAACAAAAAAACATGGACATGAGTTAGAATCAGTTTATATTTGCTAACATCACACTTAATATGTCTTATAGACAATCAAACTACGTTATACTTATCAATTGTATGATAACACCAGTTTAGTTAAAGTGAAAATCTTAAATGAGTTTAGGTAATTTGCCATTTTGGTCTTCTTCAAGTCTTTCCTTTTCGGTCAACGTCAGCTAGACGCTTTATTTACTAATTTTGCGCTTATGAATTTTAAGCGTATCCATGTCCCTGAATATCTCTGTCCCGGATGTGGCTGCTCGAAGCCTGTTTGATCACTTTAGCAGCAATTTAGAACTGAATTTAAATCAACAATCAACCTTCATCTACACTGGGTATGCCACCCAAGAGAAAAAGGAAACCTTCGGGGAAGGCACAGGATGCGGATGGGGGAATAAAGCAGCGTCGACAGCCGTCTGTTCCGGATCATGTCGAATTAGGCCTATCTGATTATGCCGGGGCAGACGTCCATGCGGCAAACCACGTGGATGACACTGGCGACCCAACAATATTCTCGGAAAGTTCAACAGTGACTGTCCGGACTGGGCTAAAACAACCCAGGGAATCAGCTTTGTCTACTAGTGGTAAGGCGGGGGAATTGAACTCCGACTGAAGTGTCGGAGTGAGTGGTGGGGTCATTCAAATACAGCCATATCCGATTGAAGTGGTCAGTATTTTTGATCCGGTCGGTGGCCACGTGCCACACAAAATTAAGGAAAAATATTCGAACGGTGAATACATTGATGTTTGGCTGCTAGTAAAAACCGGGGATGAATTGGTAAAGCACGCGTCTGATATTGATGGCGATTTGGTGGTAAAAGATGGTTGTTTAACCGTTGTCAAACAAAAAGGCAAACTCATAACTAATATTCATGTCTAGACAAAAGCCTTTATGTTATTTAGGAGCATTGTGCTGGTAAAATGGCCAGATAAAGCTCAGGAACTTATCAAGTACATGTATGATGTCTATCTTGCTGCTGAATGGGGTTCTGGTCTCGGGTGGGCAAAGTTTGACGAGCAATACAGACTCCGGAAAGTTAGGCACTCTCACACAACTTGGGGGGCCTTGGACCATGAACTTTGGCTAATGTTTGTGGCTACAAGTCAGAATCAGTCCTATAATCAAAGTCAAGGGTCCCATGGCCAGTATTCTAAATGTCAAAGGGGGATAACTGCCACTAACAAGGATCAACATTTTCAAAAAGGGGGTAAACCAGTCTGCTGGGCCTTTGACAAGGTTGAGAAATGTCGATTCGGCTCCAAGTGCCGCTTTAGTCAAGACTGTTTAAAATGTCGCAGTACCCATCCGGGTGCAAAGTGTACCAAATAGATTAAAATATGAGGGCCATTTACATGTATTGTCTCCTTTATTAATTTTAGCCAAAACAACTATTAAAGTGGACATGCTGGAACATTCTCTGAGAAATTATCCTTTACAAGACATAGCACAGGAGTTAGTGAATGGATTTAAATTTGGGTTTCGACTCCAGTATAGTGACCCATGGGTACCATTTTTTTTCTTTCTAACAATCTTAAAAGTGTCAAGGAGGCCCCGGAAGTACTGAGAGGGAAACTTCAAAAAGAATTATCTCTGGGACGTATAGCTGGAACATTTCATTTCCATCATTTCCAACATTCCGTATTCCTCCCTTGGGTATGGTTCCCAAAAAGGACAATGATTTTAGGGTCATTCATCACCTGTCACATCCTGCTGGAAGGTCGGTGAACGACTTTATTGATTATGAACTTTGTTCCGTGCATTACAGCACGATAGATGATAGGGTTGGCATGATACAGAGACTGGGGCGGGGTGCTTTATTGACCAATTCAGATATTAAGTCTGCCTTTAGGCTACTACCCATTTGGCCGCGGATTTTGACCAGTTCGGTTTTTTGTTTTGAGGATAATTTCTACTTTGACAAATGCCTCCCCATGGGAACCTCAATTTGTTGCGCTTTATTTGCGAAATTTGCCACAGTCCTTCATTAGTTTAGTACTTCAAGGAGTCTTAATTCCAATCTTTTGCATTACTAAGATGACTTCTTAATGGGTAGGGAAAACAATTCAGAACAGTGTGCTCATTCTTTGAAAACATTTCAAGTCTCTTGTGCGTTATGGGATGTTCCCTTGGCACAGGAGAACACTGTGTGGGCCCTACACAGGTACTCACATTTTTGGGTATTGAGTTTGATACTATTTTAATGCAAATGCGGCTCCTTGCTGATAAATTAAATCAATTAAGGGCTGATTTGGTCACTGTAATGGGTAAGGTGAAGGTTACCTTAAGAAACTTGCAGTCTTTAATCGGATCATTGATTTTTGCTGCTTGCCAAGTGGTGGCCCCTGACAGGCCTTTTCCTCGAAGACTAATTGACGCAACAATTTCAGTTAAAAAAACTCATCACAAGATTAGGGTTACCCGAGAGATGCGTGAGGATCTCAGGTTGTGGTATGTATTACTGTCAGATTATAATGGGGTTACAGTACATTGATGCTTGATCGTTTCTGGACATCGAACGAGACATTACATATGTATACCGATAGTGCTGGGGGTCTACACGGGGGTTTTGACGCATATTTCCAAGGTCACTGGGCGCAGGGGTGTTGACCCAGAGAACGGGACATTCATCAGGGTAATTTATCTGATGTTACATTCCTGGAAGTATTCCCAGTTGTTGCTGCACTCAATTTATGGGGTCATTTTCTGAGAATAAGAAAATGACAATTAGGCTGTTGTTATTATAAACAACAAATCTTCAAAATCTCCTCGTGTTATGGTTATAGCGGAAAATTCCCTGAAACACAATATTGAAATGAAAGCTGAGCACATTCCTGATAGTGATACTGTAATCGCTGACTCTCTTTTCCGTTGTGATTGGCAGCGCTTCAGGAGAGTGGCTCCCACAGCGGATCAGCATCAAACACCAATACCAGACCATATATGGGCGATCTAGAGAATGAAGTGCTTTTGCTCGTCCAGTTTTCTTTAGCTCCAAAATTTAGTGCAACAAACAAAACAGCAGTCTTTTCGTAAATTTCGGTCACAATAGTTTGGCCAACTCCTATAAACCAATTACAGCAATGTATAGCTTACTTATCATATACTGGCATGTCGGCATTCACACGAGCAACATACATATCAGGCTTAAGCTATGCACACAAAATTGAAAAAAATGCCTGACCACACGAAATCATTTTTGGTAAGCAAGATGATTGAAGGATTGCGTAGAAAAAAATCGGAGTTCTGATCTTCAAACACCCATGACTTCCATTCTGCAAAGGAAATTGGTCATTTCCCTGAGTAGCATTTGCCAGTCAAGTTACGAAGCTACTTCATTTGCTTCTGCATTTAGTTTGGCATTTTTTGCACTTTTACGAGTTGGTGAACTGACAGCTGATAGCAAGCATGAACGAGGTCGCCATGCCCTTCGTTTGCAAGATGTTTCAATACAATTACTTGGTAGAGATTTGGAATTACATATTCGCTTGGCTTCTGCAAAAACTGATGAATCTGGAACTTCAACAACTTTAATTTTGTCCCATCAGTCTGATCCTCAGATTTGTCCCCTGAGGCTCATGCAAGCATTCTTGCGAATCAGAAGAAGAGCACCTTGCTCACAGTTATATGTATATTATGACGGTATACCCTTGACCAGTTTAGGTCTGTTTTACAGAAAGCATTAATGTTCTGTCGGGAGCATGAACAAAAATGTCACCATCATTCCCATTTCTTTCAAAAAGATGGGGCTACAGAATAAGCCACTCGGGGGAGGTCGCGGACGATGTCAT